CCTTTTGTGATGTTACTTGTTCACAAACTACATGAATCACATAGTTAAAAAAAAATCTCAAGAAACAACAACTTCCACCTGCAGTTGTGTGTACAGTGGTCTTCTATAGTTAGAATGAGTCAGCTGAAATGGTTATGCTTTTCAACATCCAGAAGAGGAAAGATGTAAATGTGTTGGTCTTGTGGTAAATACATAACTGAGTTTCATTTTGTAAGAGAAATATATACTTCAAACACAAAACAGTATCCCCAGATAAACACTTAGCCAAAAAATAGAAGAAAAGGTCTAGAAGAAAGGAGACACTGTTTTTTTTAAGTGGAAAGTGGGTCACTAGACCTGATTATAAATTTATTGACACAGGGCAGATAACATTTGATGTAAATGTGGGGATATTATATCCTGTAGACAGATGCACTTGTTGGAAATAGGAAGCAGGGGTTACAGCAACAGTATTTTTCATTTCAGTCCCATGATAGGACTATCTAGCAACCTAATAACTCTGTTAGAATTAGTACATTATCCAAATAGGGATGATTAGCAAGGACAAACACCTAATAAGAGTAACAACTTCAGATAAAGGCTTGGTTTGGTCTATAGTAGTGAGGTATCGAAAATCGAATGGTGTATTTAAGTGTTTTAATAGTTATCATTTTATAGGTATTTGAAGAACTTGTAGCATTCCGCCACAATTTAATACGAATGTTGAAATATAAGACGAAAAATGATATTATCTCGTTAAGAAAACCTGAAATGATATTTTTCTTTTAGCACTACCATTTTAAGATTGACCCAGCTGACATATCCTCAAAATCTGGAAAACTACTTACATTAATTAAATCATCTCGGTACCTTTAACTTAAAAAATTTAAAGATCATTTGTATGAGTGTATATATATGTTTTTTTATCCTTCCAGAACATATGATAATTGCTCAGAGAAGCTTTGCAGTAAGCTAAAAATCTCGAACCAGCGCTGAGACTGAAAGTTTTAAACATTTGCCCTAAAGTGATGGGAAACCAAACCTCTGCACGTCATTACGTCCGTCATTTTAGGTGAGTTTAAAACATTTTCATGTGGTACACCTAAAGCATTTTAACTCGTTTGATCATGGTAAAATATATCACCTCAACATGTGTTTTAAACGTATTTGCTTTTTATCTTACTTTATAAGTAAACAGTATTTTAAAGTGCTCTTTGTAGTTTCATTTGTTCTCTAAACACAGACCTCATAAAGTTACTAGTGGTTTAGCTTACACGGTAATATACATATATATATATATATATATATATATATATATATATATTATATATATACTTACTA